CTATCTCATAACATCATAATTCTGCTAAAAGTCAGAATTTGTTTTGTTTTGTTTTTTGTTTTTTGAGACACAGTCAGCTTTTGTTGCTCAGGCTGGAGTGCAATGGTTCGATCTCAGCTCACTACAACCACCTCCTCCCGGGTTCAAGCGGTTCTCCTGTCTCAGCCTCCCAAGTAGCTGGGATTATAGGCATGTGCCAATTTTATATTTTTAGTAGACAGGGGGTTTCTCCATGTTGGTCAGGCTGGTCTCGAACTCCCGACCTCAGGTGATCTGCCTGCCTCAGCCTCCCAAAGTGCTGAGATTACAGGCATGAGCCGCCACGCCTGGCCTGAATCATAGGGTAGTTGTATTTATAGTTAAAATTTTGGGGCCTGGCATGGCGGCTCACACCTGTAATCCCAGCATTTTGGGAGTCTGAAGCAGGCGAATCATTTGAGGTCAGGAGTTCCAGACCAGCCTGGCCAACATGGCATGACCCCAACTCTACTAAAAAAATACAAAAATTAGCCTAGCATGGTTGGGGGTGCTTGTGGTCCCATCTACTCGGAGGCTGAGGCACGAGAATCACTTGAACCTGGGAGGCAGAGGTTGCCATGAGCTGAGATCACACTACTGCCCTACTGCCTGGGTGACAGAGTGAGACTGTCTCAAAAGGATAATAATAATAACAATATGCCAGTCACTCCTCTTCAAAATAAAAGAAACACATTTACAAATAATAAAAAAGTATCTTCCAGTGTATCTGAGATCATTGAACTTGGCCTTCATTAATTTTACCAACATTTGTTCAGTCTCTCTCTCTCTCTCTCGCGCTCTCTCTCTCTCTCTTTCTCTCTTCACTTACTGGGCTATCTTTCCTCTTCTTGTCACCATCACTCAGGCATGAGTTAAATGGCTCAGTGTCCTCCCAGCAGGTATGAGACGATGAAGTTAGATGTTTGGACCAGCGGATGCCACAGAGAAGTACTGGGACTATGTCCTCCTGGCCCAAAGAAGAAAAGCTAGGGTGGGGGATAAGTTGTAGGAACTGAGGGAATATGTACAATTTCTGGGCCAATCAGTTCCCTGAGGTCCTTGTTATGCAAATTGTCTAATTTCATCTCTATTCCCTGAATAGTTCTGTTTCCTATGGGGGCTGGGAGATGGCAGTAAGAACCATTTTATGTCTTCTTCGGGGTAAGATGCATGTTTCCTAACTTTCTCTGCACCCTTTCCTCCAAGAACAAATTCTCCTTGTCTTCTAAGCTCAGTCTTTCCAATGCCCAGGGCTTCTCCTATCAGAAGGTTCCATTATTATTGGAAGCCATTGTTTCTCCTCACTTGAAGAACTAAGAGGACAGGCATGGTGGCTCACACCTGTAATCCCAGCACTTTGGGAAGGCAAAGCGGGTGGATCACCTTAGGTCAGGAGTTTGAGACCAGCCTGGCCAACATGGTAAAACCTCATCACTACTAAAAATACAAAAATTAGCTGGGTGTGATGGCAGGCGCCTGTAATCCCAGCTAGTCGGGAGGCTGAGGCAGGAGAATCGCTTGAACCCAGAGGCAGAGGTTGCAGTGAGCCAAGATCGCGCCATTGCATTCCAGCCTGGGGGACAAGAGTGAGACTGAGTCTTATATAAAACAAAAAAGAACTAAGAAACACTTCAAGCATCTTCCCATGTTCACCCAGTGATCTGTCACCAAGACACAGGATTGCCTGAACCTCAACAGGGCAACTCTCTGCAAAGACCTTTTTCCCAAATAAGTAACATTCACCCTTTTGTCATATAAGCTCAGATTCAAGGCCAGGCGCGGTGGCTGATGCCTGCAATCCCAGCACTTTGGGAGGCCAAGGTGGGAGGATCACTTGAGTCCAGGAGTTCAAGACCAGCCTGGCCAACATGGCAAAACCCTGCCTCTACTAAAAATACAAAAATTAGCTGGCCGTGGTGGCAGGCATCTGTAATCTCAGCTACTTGGGAAGTGGAGGCAGGAGAATTGCTTGAACGCAGGAGACAGAGGTTGCAGTGACCCAAGATTTCGCCACTGCACTGCAGTCTGGGTGACAGTGCAAGACTCTGTCTTTTAAGTGAATGAATGAATGAATGAATGAATGAAAGCTCAGATTCACAAGTGAGAGGATTAGAATGTGGATATAGTCTTCTGAGGGCTATCAGGCAACTCATGACAGAAATGTCTTCTGGTTGACTACATGAAAGTATCAATTATCAATGAACCCAGGAAAGGGTTCGCAGTTTTCTGTCTCTGGGAATCAGGTCTAGACACTGCTGCTGCATTGACTGACATACCTGTTGACTCAAGAAAACCAGCGCTGGCAGGAGGCACCTCATAAAGGACTGAATGATGCCCTATCCTACTCCTGCACATCCCCTAATTCTGAGGTCCTTGTTATGAAAGAGAACTGTCTTCATTATTTGCGCATATTGGAGTTAGGGTTTCTGTTTATTATTTATGTATATATGTATTTGTTTACTTATTTAGTCTTGCTCTGTCTCCCAGCCTAGAGTGCAGTGGTGTGATCTCGGCTCCCTGTAACCTCCACCTTCCGGGCTCAAGCAATTCTCCTGCTTCAGCCTCGTGAGTAGCTGGGATTACAGGCTCCAGCCACCATGACTGGCTAATTTTTGTATTTTTAGTAGAGACGGGGGGGTTCACCATGTTGGGCAGGCTGGTCTTGAACTCCTGATCTCAAGCGATCCACCTGTCTCAGTCCCCCAAAGTGCTGGGAATACAGGCGTGAGCCACCATGCCTGACCAGGGTTCCTATTTTATTTTTTTATTATACTTTAAGTTCTGGGGTACATGTGCAGAACATGGAGGTTTGTTATAAAGTTATCCACTTGCTATGATGGGTTTGCTGCATCCATCACCCCATCATCTACATTAGGTATTTCTCCTAATGCTAGCCCTCCCCAACCCTCTACACCCCAACAGGCCCGTGTGTGATGTTCCCCTCCCTGTGTCCACTTATGAGTGAGAACATGAGGTGTTTGGTTTTCTGTTCTTCTATTAGTTTAGTGAGAATGATGGTTTCCAGCTTCATCCATGTCCCAGCAAAGGATGTGAACTCATCCTTTTTCATGGCTGCATAGTATTCCATGGTATATATGTGCCACATTTTCTTAATCCAGTCTATCATTGATGGGCATATGGGTTGGCTCCAGGTCTTTGCTATTGTGAACAGTGCTGCAATAAACATATGTGTACATGTGTCTTTATAACTGAATGATTTAAACTCTTTTGGGTACATACCCATAATGGGATTGCTGGGTCAAATGATATTTCTAGTTCTAGATCCTCGATGGAACCTAAGGGGTCCTGATTTATAAAGTTCAAATACCTCACAATCATCTCAAACCACTAAGATAATCTAACTTTTATGATATCTAAATGTTTTTCATAAATCTAATTTTTTAATGATAAAACTGCATATAACAGATGCTAATGTTGTGTAGGGAGAATATAGTTTACCAGTGACTGGCCCCGCTAATTACTAAATTGGATATGAAAACTTAGCCCCCTTGACCCACTGTAGGTCTACACTGGGGTACAATTGATATGACCCTAAATAAGCAATAAAGTGGAAGCTTGTCTCCAAATATGACAATGGCCTCACTTAAATCCTTTTCCTGGCAGGGCACAGTGACTTACACCTCTAATCCCAGAGCTTTGGGAGGCCATGGCAGGAGGATCACTTGAGCCTAGGTTTTGAAACCAGCCTGGCCAACATAGCCAGACCCCATCTCTACACCACACACCACACTGGGCATGGTGGTGCATGCCTGGAGTCCTAGCTTCCTAGGAGGCTGAGGTAGGAGGGCCCCTGGAGTTTGAGCCCTGGAGTCCTGGAGTCTGAGGCTGCAGGGAGCTATGATCATGCCATTGCATTCCAGCCTAGGTGACAAAGCAAGACCCTGTCTGTGAAAAAATTCCGTCCCTATTAATGATACAAAAATTAGCCAGGCATGGTGGCAGGCACCTGTAATGCCAGGTACTTAGGAGGCTGAAGCAGGAGAATGGATTGAACTCGGGGGGCGGAGGTTGCAGTGCTCCAAGGTCACACCAGTGCACTCCAGCCTGGCCAATAGAGCAAGACTCAGTCAAGAAAGAAGAGAAGAGAGTGAGCTAAAAAAAACAATTAATAAAGGCTGGGTGCGGTGGCTCAAGCCTGTAATCCCAGCACTTTGGGAGGCCGAGGCGGGTGGATCATGAGGTCAAGAGATCGAGACCATCCTGGTCAACATGGTGAAATCCCGTCTCTACTAAAAAAAATACAAAAAATTAGCTGGGCACGGTGGCACATGCCTGTAATCCCAGCTACTCAGGAGGCTGAGGCAGGAGAACTGCCTGAACCCAGGAGGTGGAGGTTGTGGTGAGCCGAGATCGCACCATTGCACTCCAGCCTGGGTAACAAGAGTGAAACCTCCTAGGTTCTAGCAATTCTCCTGCTTCAGCCTCCTGAGTAGCTGGGACTACAGGCACGTGCCGCCACACCCGGCTAATTTTTATATTCTTAGTAGAGATGGGGTTTCACTATGTTGGCCAGACTGGTCCCCAACTCCTGGCTTCAAGTGATCTGCCCACCTTGGCATCTCAAACTGCTGGGATTACAGGTGTGAGCCACTGTACCCAGCCATCTGACTCTCTGACTCTTTTCTTTTCTATTTATTTATTTATTTATTATTATTATTATTTTGAGATGGAGTTTCACTCTTGTTACCCAGGCTGGAGTGCAATGGTGCGATCTCGGCTCACCACAACCTCCACCTCCTGAGTAGTCCCAGCTACTCAGGAGGCTGAAGCAGGAGAATTGCTAGAACCTAGGAGGTTGAGGTTGCAGTGAGCCAAGACCATGCCATTGCACTCCAGCCTGGGTGACAGAGTGAGACTCTGTTGAAAGAAAGGAAAAGAAAATAAAGAAGGAAGGAAGGGAAGGAAGAAAGAAAGAAAGCAAGAAAACAAGGAAGGAAGGAATAAAAGAAAGGAAGGAAGAAAGAAAGAGTCGAGCATTGTAGCTCACCAGGAATCCTGTCACTTTGACTTACTCTAGAAACCCGAATCCAAAGCAAATGGCACACTACAGAAGAGAAGGCATCCTCCCCATGAACTTCCTCAAGGTTCCCTTCATGTCCTTATTCCTCAGACTATAGATAAAGGGGTTCACCATTTGAGGAACCACAGAATACATCACTGACGCCACCGCAGTCTTCCTAGGTGAGTCAATAACTGCAGAACTAAGATACACCCCCAAACCTGTCCCATAGAACAAGAGCACCATGGAGAGGTGAGACCCACAGGTGGAAAAGGCTTTATACTTTCCACGTGCTGAAGGCATTCTCAAAACAGAGGAGGTGATTTGAGTGTAAGAGAAAATGATTCCAGACAGAGGACCACCACCAAATATGCAAGCTGCAAAATATATCAGGATGTTATTGATGAGGGTGTCAGAACAGGCAAGTTGGATGACATGAGCCAGTTCACAGAAGAAGAGCGGGATTTCCAGGTCTGCGCAGAAGGAGAGCCTCAACACCATCAGGCTGAGAAGAAGGGCGTTCACAATGCTAGTCAACAGAGAGAGAAGAATCAGCAGGCTGCAGACGCAGGGGTTCATGATGACCATGTATCTAAGGGGGTGGCAAATGGCCACACAGCGGTCGTAGGCCATTGCTGCAAGAAGACAGTTTTCCAAGCCAGCAAAAAGCAGGACAAAGCAGATCTGGGTGAGGCACAAACAAATGTCAGAAAAGGAGAGACTAGAAAGGAAGAAGTACGTGGGGGTGTGGAGGTGGGAGTCAGAGACGACAGCCAGGAGGATGAGCAGGTTCCCCAGGATGGAGACCAGGTACATGGACAGGAACAGGCTGAAGAGGATGGGCTGCAGTTCTAGATCCTCTATTAGTCCCAGGAGAAGGAATTCTGAAACAGATGTTTGGTTTCTAGCTTCCATGCTGTTGATGATGAATCTGATGGAAAAGATAACATGTGAGAAGCAGCAGCAGCAGTGGAGTCACTGGGGAGCATGACAGAAATGCAAAATATTTTTTTTATTTTTTTCTCTGAGATAGAGTCTTGCTCTGTTGCCAGGGTGGAGTGCAGTGCCACCATCTCAGCTCATTGCAACCTCCACCTCCTGGGTTCAAGCGATTCTCCTGCCTCAGCCTCCCAGGTAACTGGGATTACAGGTGCCTACTGCTATGCCCAGCTAATTTTTTGTATTTTTAGTAGAGACAGGGTTTCTCCAGGTTGGCCAGGCTGGTCTTGAACTCCTGACCTCGTGATTTGCCCACTTGGCCTCCCAAAGTGCTGGGATTACAGGTGTGAGCAGCCACGCCTGGCTGATATTTGTATTTTTTAGTAGAGATGGGGTTTCACCATGTTGGCCAGGCTGCATGTGGCTTTTCAATCAGAATTATCCCATGCCTTCAAATAAACCAAAAGATGAGAATGAAGTCAGGCAATCTGTCTTCCAGAGCAATGGCTCCCAAACTTTGACTTGCTTTAGAATCATCTGAAGAGCTTGTCAAAGGGCAGATGCATTGGTTGATACTATCACTCCCTTTTACCCATGAGGACACTGTGGTAAGGTAAGGTTACATCATGGATATGAAATACTGAAATACACAGTTAGAGGTTGGCAAAGACTGGGTATGAGCTCAGATCTTTTTTTCTGTTAAGACAGAGTCTTGCTGTCACCCAGGCTAGAATGCAGAAGCGTGATCTCAGCTCACTGCAACCTCCACCTCCCAGGTTCAAGCCATTCTTGTGTCTCAGTCTCCTGAGTAGCTAAGATTACAGGCATGTGCCCACCACCACACCTGGCTAATTTTTGTATTTTTAGTACAGACGGGATTTCAACATGTTGGTTAAGCTGGTCTCAATTCCTGGCCTCAAGTGATCCACTCACGTTGGCCTGACAAAGTGCTGGGATTGACCACAGGCTTGAGCCACCGTGACCAGCCTCAGATCTTCCAACTGTTTTTTAGAGTCAAGGTCTCATTCTGTCACTCAGGATGGAGTGCAGTGGTGTGATCACAGTTCACTGCAAATGTGAACTTCTAGGCTCAAGCTATCTTCCCACCTCAGCTTCCCAATTAGCTGGAACTACAGGCATGCACTACCATGCCTGGTTAATTTTTAACATTTTTAGTTGTTGTTGAGATGGGGTCTTGCTATGTTGCCTAAGCTGACCTTGAACTCCTGGCCTTAAGTGACCTTCCTGACTCAGCCTCTCAAAATGCTGAGATAACAGGCATGAACCACCGCACCTGGACAGAACTAGTAATTCTTTCTTTTTTTTTTTTTTCTGAGACATTAATTCAAAGTGATATGTTCAAACCAAACTATATTTTAAATATATTCATTTTAATTATTTAAGTAACACATTAAATGCACTGGCCTTGTTAAAATTAACACGATATATCAATCTGTCCCTTTTACTGTGACTATCTTGGTCCTCTTCATCCTTCTCCAGAAGTAACTATAGAGCCTGTAATCCCAGCCCTTTGGGAGGCCAAGACAGGTGGATTACTTGAGGTCAGGAGTAAGAGACCAGCCTGACAAACATGGTGAAACCCCGTCTCTACTAAAAATTCAAAAATTCAGGTGGCACGCACCTGTAATCCTAGCTACTCAGAAGGCTGAGTCAGGAGAATCTCTTGAACCCAGGAAAAGATTGCAGTGAGCTGAGACCGTGTTGATGCACTCCAGGGTGTGTGACAGAGACTCCATTTCAAAAAAAAAAAAATGTAGCTTGTTTTTTAACAACTGATATACGATTCACAAAAAAAAAAAAAAAAAAAAAGGAAAGGAAAAAGAAAGGGAGGAAGAAAGCAAGAAAATTTTTGCATGATAAAGTGTACAGTATGAGAAAATTCTCAATATTTTTGAATCTGCACAGGTATGTTCATTTTAATTATAGATTATTCACGTGTGGATTATTGAGAAAGTACAGAGACTAATGAAGAGCTGGCTACCCATCAGTCAACAATATAAAATTCACATAATTCACCATCCTTGCTTTAGGTCTTTTTATTGCATTTTTATTGCAATAAAGTGTGTATTTAAGGCTGGGCATGATGACTCAAACCTATAATCTGAGCACTTTGGGAGGCTGAGGCAGGTGGATCACCTGACATCAGGTGCCAGCCTGACCAATATGGCGAAATCCCAACTCTACTAAAAATACAAAAAAAAATTAGCCGGGTGGGGTGGCGTGTGGCTGTAATCACAGCTACTCAGGAGGCTGAGACAGGAGAATCGCTCGAACCCAGGAGGCAGAGGCAGAGGCAGAGGTTGCAGTGAGCCGATATTGCACCACTGCACTCCAAACTGCACTCCAAACTGGGCTGCAAAGTGAGACTCCATCTCAAAAAGAAAAAAAAAAGTGTGTGTTTAAAATTTCTTTTTGCTTTCTTTCTTTCTTCTTCTTCTTTTTTTTTTTTTTTTTTTTGAGACACAGTCATGCTCTGTCACCCAGGCTGGAGTGCAGTGGTGTGATCTCAGCTCACTGCAGCCTCCACCTTCCAGGTTCAAGTGATTCTTGTGCCTCAGCCTCCCGAGTAGCTGGAATTGCAGACATGCACCACCATAACTGGCTAATTTTTGTATTTTTAGTAGAGATGGGGTTTTGCCATGTTGGTCAGGCTAGTCTTCAAACTCCTGACCCTAAGTGATCCACCTGCCTCCTAAAGCACTGGGATTACAAGCGTGAGTCATTGCACCCAGCCCAGTTTAGCAGAATTTCAACAACTTTAAGGCTTAATAGTTACAATATTTGGTATTATTCTTCCAAACAATATCAATTACATTGTGTGGCATTTTAATGCAACTGATTAGTCCAGGTAGTCTTTTTCTTTCAGAAAAGGTAAATTTAACATTTTACGCTGAAGACAGAACACTCATGGTGTCCTGGGTACCATCTGGTCTGAGTTAGGTACAGGAGAGTAAAGGAGGCAGCTATCTACTACCAAGGTCAGTGACTGGAAGCAGGGAGGTCTGGTCTCCAGTCTCTCCTAGTCATTTACAGGACAAGAACCACAAAGAAGAGCCATTATGGACAACAGTACGGAAGTTTCTCACAAAATAAAAAACGGAACTACTATGTGATCCAGTAATCCCACGACAGGGAATATCTCCGAATGACTGAAAATAGGGTTCACTACGGAAAAATCAACTAGACACAAAAAAAGGCAGTAATTGAGGAAATAGAGGCTAAAAAGTATAAAACACACAGAACACAGCAATGGCAGGATTAAGTCTCTCCTAATCAGTGATCACTTTAAAAAATAAGAGGATTAAACTATTCAAACAAAAGGCAGTGTTTGTCAGCATGAATACTAAAAACGGAAACCAACGCTTCTATAAGAGACTCGCTTTAGACTCAAGACAAAACAGGGTAACAGAGTAAGAAACGAATTTTTTTCTTTTTTTTTTTGAGACGGAGTGCAGTCACTGATGCTTGTAATCCCAGCACTTTGGGCGGCGGAGGTGGGTGGATCATCTGAGGTCAACTCGAGACTAGCCTGGGCAACATGGCAAAACATTGTCTCTACTAAAAATAGAAATATTAGTTGGGTGTGGTGGCAGGTGCCTGTAATCTCAGCTCTGCAGGAGGCTGAAGCAGGAGAATCTCTAGAACTGGGGATGTGGAGGTTGCAGTGAGTCGAGATGGAGCCACTGCACTCCTGCCCAGGTGACAGGATGAGACTCCTTCTTAAAAACAAAAACAAAAAATACCAGAGTGGACTTCCCACAGGAACGATACTATATATGGTCAGTCTAAGCTCTCATACTAATCGTTTTCCCCTCACCAGGAATTAGATTAAGAAAAAAGGCCAGGCGCCAGTCCTGTAATCCCAGCACTTTGGGAAGCCGAGGCGGGTGGATCACGAGGTCAAGAGATCGAGACCATCCTGGTCAAAATGGTGGGTGAAACCCCGTCTCTACTAAAGATACAAAAAAATTAGCTGGGTATGGTGGCGTGTGCCTGTAATCCCAGCTACTCAGGAGGCTGAGGCAGGAGAATTGCCTGAACCCAGGAGGCGGAGGTTGCGGTGAGCCGAGATCATGCCATTGCACTCCAGCCTGGGTAACAAGAGCGAAACTCCGTCTCAAAAAAAAAAAAAAAAAAAAAAAAAAAAAAAAAAAAAAGAAAAAGAAAAAGAAAAAAAAGTAAGATCTCTCTGTAATGAGATTAAAGGAGATAGCTTCTGGATTACTCTATGCAATCCCATTTATCAATAGATCTAGGAAAAAACAGATTTCCGTCTCTGGGCATCATGTCTGGGTATTATGTCTGTATTTGCTGCAGCCGTCTGGATCTATGAGGGGAACCAGCCCTAAAAGAAAGCCACAGCTGGGCATGGTGGCGCATGCCTCTGATCCTAGCACTTTGGGAGGCCGAGGTGGGCAGATCACAGACCGGCCAACATGGTGAAACCCTGTCTCTACTAAAAATACAAAAATTAGCTGGGCATGGTGGCAAGCGCCTGTAATCCTAACAACTTGGGAGGCTGAGGCAGAAGAATCGCTTGAACTCAGAAGGCAGAGGCTGCCGTGAGCTGAGATTGTGCCACTGTAGCCTGGGACAGAGTGAGGGTGTCTCCAAAAATAAAAACAAGGAAGCCACGAGCTGGAGATGTAAGTGAGTTATGGATTATTCTCTACATTCCCTCCCTCTGATGTATTGGCAAAGAAATGTAGCTCTCTTTATTATTTGAGTATATTATGGTCAACATTTCTTTCTTCTTTTTTTTTTTCGAGACGGAGTTTCGCTCTTGTTACCCAGGCTGGAGTGCAATGGCGCGATCTCGGCTCACCGCAACCTCCACCTCCTGGGTTCAGGCAATTCTCCTGCCTCAGCCTCCCGAGTAGCTGGGATTACAGGCACACGCCACCACGCCCAGCTAATTTTTTGTATCTTTAGTAGAGACGGGGTTTCACCATGTTGACCAGGATGGTCTCG